CCTGGTAGCAGCGATGCCAGGAGCCCCTAGTAGCGCGTAGTCTCTGGTAGGACAGGAGTTACATCTTGCGATTCCTCGCTGTTGCGTAGGGCCTGCGGAGGGAAGTCTCTGTGGCGGGCAAGGTCGCGACAGAACGCGGAACAGACGGTCGGTCCGGATGGGATGCGAGATCCGATCCCATCTGTGGCGAAAATAGACACAAGAAAAAGGAATAAGGGAAATGGTAGGCAAAAAGGCCCCGTGCACGGTGTGCAAAGATGCGCAAGAACCAAAAATAGACTCCACCAGCCCCAACCCAGAGATCTACATTGACCTCGCTTGCAGCCAAGGTGCTGTCGTGACAACCTTTGGCTTCTGGGCTTCGGTCTTCCCCATTCGTCGAGAGCTTGTCACCTTTCATCGCTGAAGAGCACCAATTCGGGAAAGCACCCTTTGGGCAGGGCAACGGATGGTGCGCGCGGACACCCCGAAAAAGCTGTGCGAGGCAGCAAGCTTGAAATCCTTCATCCATCTTCATCCTCCAAACAGCGGGGCAAAGCTACAGAACATGGGCTGAAGAAAAGAGGAACACGTCGATCTTCGATCCCATGCACGATGTTTCGCTCACCCATTTCGATCCCATGCACGTCATGCCGAACATGTCTCATCACCGGTCTTCCCCAGAGAGTGAGTGAGTTCAACCTCCTCAGACCTCCCCTCACGACGTTCAGCCCGCTGGCAGTAGCGGTACATCACCGCTGGAGTGAGTTTCGCAGCGACCGGATAGCACAGTGGGGTCTCCACCTGGCGGGTCGACTGAGGTCAACCGGACACCAGGCTACCTCGGTCCCCCATTTTTGGGCGGTTTGGACAGGAAAAGACTCATTGAACTACATTGACATCATAAAGTAGAGAGATCCATCTATATAAATCCATCAAGCATCAACTGTCCCAACTCTGATTTGTTCAGTGTACACATATTGGCCGTGCAGAGCGTGCCAGCTTGGTAGCTTGGAAGGGACGTGGAACAGCCTTTTGTGGCATGGAGATGTAGAGCCCTAGGTCTTTTTCTGCAAAAAAAATGATATCCTATGTGCAAAAACACATGGTGCCCCCTTGTCAGATGCAAGCAACACCTGCTGCAAGGGCCTCGCACATGGCGCCTTTTCGTTGAACTACCACGGCTTGCTCCTTGTGTCCCTGGCACTTGCCTGAATGCATCTTCTGCGGCACAACTTTCTGGGTTTGAGGAGACTGTTGAAAAAGCACAACTCAGTTGTGCACTCTGCCTTAAAGGCACTACGGTCACTACACTAAAGGCACTACTGTCGTAGTCTACTATATAAGGGTTTACAAGACCATGGCACTGTCAGAGATGTATTGGTAACATTGCAAATTACTGCAACGAAGGTGGACATGCATTTGATTGCACCAGCTTCGATGGGACGACACTGGTTCAAGCAAGAAGTCGCGCCTGCCGCACCAATGGCAAGTCACATCTTGTTGATCAACATCGCATGAGGACTATACTTTCCCATTCTGAAAATCCCAGGGTCAGGCTTCCCGTATCCTCAATCACCATGCTTTCCATTGCGTTCCTTTTCCTCATAGGGCTCAAAGTTACAGCACATTGTTGAGTTTAGTGTGCCCCAGAACCTATACAGTTCACATCAGTTCACTGTAAACGCTTCAAACAGTGCCTTTTTCCTCTTCCCATGACCCGGTCCTCTTCGGGCCACGCGGTCCACGCGGTCGGACCTCGCCTCCGGGCTCGAAGCACTGCTTCTCTTTGTCCCAGGCCTGGGAGTTCGCACGGTGACGACATGGAGAAAGGAGGTGGAAATACGGTGAGTTGAACAAGCTGGTCTTGTGTAGGGCTATTAGCTGTTTGGAATCGGGAGGTGTGGGGTCTGCATGAAAAAAGACAGAAAAGAAAACACAACTCAAAGCTGCTTGGCCATCGAATTCGCTTGTCCACAAGCAACGGATTCCAACAAATTCCTGGAGAATGATACAAATATGATACAAATAGCTTCCATGATTCCTCGGATGACCAAGGTGATCTCAGTGTCGTGTCTGCTGAAGTCGTCCGACTTTCAGGGGAATCCGAGTCA